TTTAGGTTACTGAATCCGAATTTGTCAGCTATTTTTACTTTATTATGTTTTTTAGATAATCAAGACAAATGATGGAAAATCTGTAAAAATTGAAACATTTGAGAAAAAAGCAAAAGTATATATGATGACATTAAAATGCGGTCACAGAACTCTAAATATATTTGATAAGTTAAACAAAGTGTAAGGAACAAAAAAAATTACCTTTACTAATGTTAAATATTATAGTCTAACAAATCTCTCTCGGTGTTAAGTACATTATGCAAGAAATGGATATTTTAATTGTTACCTTTAGAAGATACAATAACAATTAAAATGTTCACTTTTGAAAATTCTTTTATGACTTAGATCATCTAACCGTTTGTTACACAATAGTACTTTACGATTTCTTTTACAACGTGTCTAATACTTAACATCAATAATTAATTAACTTACCAAAATATATTTAAATCATTTTTGCGGCTACATTTTAATGTCATATTTATTTTTTCTCTTTTCTCGAATTTTTCCGCTTTTCACAGAGTCTCCATAATTTGTTCAATTATCTATTTAAAAAGTCATAAAACAAAACGACTAATGAATTCAGATTCGACGACCCAAAAAAATCTATAAGAAACATCTACTCTGGTTTGTTTTTTTTCTCCAGAAATCTTTTTTATAGTCTTGTAAAATAAATAAATACTGAAACTTATGATGCACTATCACGATCAAAGTCATTAAGCATGTTACGAGTTCATGATGGAGATCGATTGATTCATTTGACGAAAAATGAAAAACACTTTTTGAACCGTTTTCGATTGTTCGTTGGCGCATCGATGACGGGTGTTAAATATAACGCCGATATACGTGGAATTGACAAAAAAGTTTTCTAGTACCTGACGAGCAACTAGGACAATTGCTGGCATGAGTGGTTTGTGCAACGAACGTTAGGTTGTCGAAAATTATTGTCCGCCTGGCAGCTTTAGTAACTTTTTTTTTTAGTTTTTATCGCTTTTTTTATTGTACGTCGTTTTTCGTTTATTGGATGTTTTGTAGCACGTCTTGGTGAACAACTGTTTACATTCGTGCGCGTGACGATGACACTTAACGGATAGTTAAATAGAATTAATTATAATTCTGTGAGAACAAGGCAATTAAAGCGATAACGATATATCGTGACTCGGTGTGCCGTACATTCTGTTCGTGAAATTTCAAGCCACTTTACTTGCTGCTTGGTGCTCCAGGAAACCGTTTCGCTTTGTGAGATATGTGTGATCTGCTAATTCTCTTCCCCAAAAATGTATGTCTCCTTTATCAAATTTATGGGGAAACATACCGAAATTTATCTGCGAATCTACGCTTTGATCTCATTTCTCGCCGTTATCTGTTAAAAATTGAGAAAATTTTCCGTAACATAAAATATAAAACATAAATAATCAATTTTAAACAAATCACTCAAATGAGGAGTTCGTTTTTGTTTTCACATCAGATATTTTTATTCCACTTAACCGATTAGAAGATTATTTCTGTAGATATGTGGTTGCAGAGCAACAGGTAGACATTCCCTAAAAAAGAAACTTCTTGAAAAGTTTCGTATAAGATAAGACAACCCTTAAGCTTCTTACCCAACGGAACTTCTTTGTCACGTGACATTATGAAACCGCTGGAGATTTATATATCCACTGTGATATATTATTCTCGTATATTAGAAGTTTCTTCTAACATTGAACATACTATGAATAGTACCGAATATATTGTATAAACGTTATCAATAAACGCGCGCACGTTATTACATATACGTTCTCGCTTTATATATAAGTGCTTTATATTTATAAAGTTGTTTTGTCACAGGTTGCAGCTATAAGTAGCGATCATCCTTTACATTAATATAACGTTCTTTATTTATTGCAAATAATTTTTCTATTCTATATTTGCCATTGGACAATTTGTCTTATTCACTATCAATTGAGTTTGAATCAGTCCTAAGGGATTCTCTCGTGATCATCGCCTTTAATGAATCCGACGTCGAGGGATTCAATTAGACTATGTCCAAAGAGATTCAAATGACCGTGGCTCTGAGATTTGGGACAACCGCAAGGGTCAATTGAATAATCTGACATTGTAGCAGGCATGCTTGATCCATTCGCCCTCTCACATGGCTAAACGTCATTCTCTGAGGAAGATACGAGGACGACAGAATCTAATTTCGTTACACGCCGTAAATATTCTGTGTTCGACGAAATTATTCGCTCTTCCTCGGTCTAATTGCTCGCGAACGGATTGTTGAGAAGTTTAATTGCAGGTACGCTGACTTCCCGCGAGAAAACGCGCGGAATTGAATTTTACAGAATGCCCTAGGGCCAACTGTATTTTCTGTACCTTTGATTCTCCCTGTCCTTCGTGATCTGGTCATAAAACGAAAAATAAAGGCGCAAAAGTGCCAGGTGAACCTCTAATTCGGTAGAGAACCGCGATAATTACGGCAATTCGTCGGGAATAAACGTGTACTGCATGCGACACCAAATGACCATGGTGTCATTAGTGGCGCTTATCTATGTAACAATGTCCGCATTTTCTTAACAGAGGGCATTGTGGAAGCATTGCGTATTAATAATGAACGTGCACGTTAAATTTTTCAATAGAATTGAAGACAATTTTCTAGATGGGCGAATAACGGAAGCGGTTTAAATTAATCTGCCTCTGCTGTGTGTCATAATTTACATTAGCTTAGGGACACTCATTGGTGAAAGCGACGTTATAAAGTAAATAGATATA